CTCAAAATTCAGATTTTTTTTTAATGAAAATCACAAAAATTCAGATTTTACTGTAGTACAGTGTGTATTACTGTAGTAGAGTGTGTATTAATACAGTATAGTTTGTATTACTTTACTTTGTACAACAACAAATTAAGTGATTTTAGAATAAACTAATCAAATGCACTCAAAGTTTTGCACAACAAGCAGAAATAAACCACAGTCTTCGTTACTAGCATTAGGAAAGGTAATAATATTTGATCAAACACAAATTGACTTTGATGGTAACAACCTTAACACTTTTTATCAACATGATAACTGACCTAGTCATTCAACATGCACCACTTTAAAACAAATAACAGATGACTGAGAAGGGAATTGGATAATAAGAAGTATTTGGGTGCAGTATTACTAGTTCTGCTTTTGATGTTATTGATCATTTTTTTGCCGTTACACAAGCTGGAACAATATGGTTTTACTTTGAATGCGCTAAGGTGGATATAAAGTTACCTCTGCAATCAAAGGCACATTTTTTTTTTTAATGGAAGTTTGTCAAATATTAGGAAATTCACATGCGGAGTACCTCAGGGTAGTTGTTTGGGACCACTATTATTTCCTATATTCACAAATGAACTACCAGTATAGAAAATAAATCCAAAGTATGTTTTAAAAGTTTGCTTAAACAGCATCTCCGTATCATAAAGTACAATGTAAATGTGTCTGTGGGTATGTACAACTGAATGTACTATTTGTGTTACTAGTTTTTGTTTTCAGGTGTTTTCAGTTCATACGGAATTGTTTATTGCATGAAAGAGTGAGCTATTTTTTTGTTTTATATATGTTTGACTGTGAGGCCTGTACTACGAAGACGGATTTTCGCTTAGCGAGCTAACTTCAGGGAAAACTCGGGCTTTCCGGTCCTACGAAGCTGGTTCTCTTTTTAGCGGGCTAGATCTCCATGGTAACTTATGCTGAACGGCTAGCCTGCTCCGGAGCAGGTTAGGTTGCAGGCTAAGAGCTCAACTCAGTGAAAGCACCGCCTGCTGACCAATCAGAGCTCAGTGTGCGGAGTTTAAAGCGATCAAGTCATATACTCATATTACAGGAGAAAGGAAATACAGAAAAACTGCCGTTGCAGGAAAGACGGCAAAAATCACAGACTGTGTGAACGTGAACATTAATAGAATATCACCTCCATCTTCAGAGCAATCTGACTATTATAACATTAGCGTTAAGAAAGCTTACTTAAATATCTGACACAACATAAGTACACTGAGTGCAGACGTCGATGTGTCCCATTATCATTCATATCACATCATATCACATCATAATCACATCATATATTTTCTTATCTGAGTCAGCTGAGCCGTATCTGGCCGTGCAACACTCACAGTGTCACATAGTGTATGCAGAAGTATTATTTTAAGCAACACATTAAGTTGACGAAACACTCGAGTCAAATGTAATGAAAGTCAGATCGTGTCTTAGACGGGGCAGTGATGTCATAAACCTGTTAATGTACGCATTCAAACACTTGTTCTGTTCCCAGCTGTATTCACCTTGCAGGTGCATCTCTGTGGCTTTGATCCTGGATCAAGTGTTTAAGTCATGGATGTTTAAAGTTTAACTTCTTCATTTTTGACTAGTATTAAAGTTCACTTTTCATTCAGGAAGTGTGACGCTGCGCTGTCAGTGCGCTTCTCCATGTTTGTGATTGGTCGAATGCTCCAGATACCACCCCTTTCATGTGAACGCGCACCTAACTAGATAGGACACGGCTGGCTTGAGCGATCCACTTGATAACCCGCGTCGTAGGACCGCTTGATTGATTGATTGATTGAAAAGTTTATTAACAGCTTGTATATTGGGTACAGTACAGTACAGCTCAAAACATACAATTGTTAAGGGGATGCAGACCAGAGAAAGACTTTCGTCTTGTTTACATCAGGGTCCCCCATTTCCAATTCATCATGTCATATAAGACATATAAGACATATTTGACATACAGATTGCTTATTTACAATTTACATACAGGTGGTTTTTTACATACAGATTGCTTATTTACAATTTTCATTTTAGATTTCGTTCTAATACATCCTAACCGGACATTTAAGACATACCAAGTCTACAGATATACAGTTAGTAACAGAGTCTAAAATGCGAGTATATACATAGATGGGGGGGGGGGGAAGCTGTCCATTGAACGACAGGTTGAGATTTGTACCATTACCGGGGCCAGTTTTGCAATGCTCTCCCCCGAAGGTGCTCTTTAAGAGAGGTTTTGAAGGTAAGTATAGTTTTACTTTCCTTTACAGTTGTGGGAAGAGCGGTCCACCTTGATGTGGCATCATTGCGAAACGTGTATTCCCCCTTTTTTGTGCCAAATCTGGGTTTCACATGATTTGTGGAGCTCCCTCTGGTGTTATGATCATGGTATTCCTTGACCTTTGGGAAGAATTTTGACATGTACATGGGTACCATAGAGGTGTAGTGGATCTTGTAGACCAGGCCCATTGCAAGTAGCTGTACTCTGTCGTCTACTCTAAGCCATCCTAGGTTGTCAAAGTGGGCAGAGGTGAGGTGGGTTCTAGATGAAAGGTCAAGCAGTAGTCTGACCAGTTTATTTTGCGATGTTTGAAGTTTTATTTTTAGCGCCTTGGAGGTGCTATGGTACCATGACGTGCAAGCATAGTCATAGTACCCTTGAATGAGTGCTCCTGCCAGAGTTTTCAGGGTGTTCTTGTTTACCAGAGAGGAGATCCGGTATAGGAATCTAGTTCTTTGATTGACTTTTTTTATTACATTGGATGCCATTTTGTCACAGGAGAGGTTTGCCTCAAGAATAGATCCTAGGTATGTAATTTCCTTCTTACTTGTGACAATAATGTCGCCCACTGCAACTGAGAAGTCGTCGGATTTGCTGAGATTATGTTTCGAACCGAAGAGAATGGACTCTGTTTTACCCAGGTGTAATGATCATTTATTATCGGCGAGCCAGGTGCAGATTCTGCCGAGCTCGGAGCTGAGGGTTTTTTCAACCTGCAACCTGTTCCTGCCAGAGACCAGCAGGGCTGAGTCGTCCGCGAACAGGAACAAGTTGCAGTCACATGCTGATGACATGTCATTTACATAAATTAGGAACAGTAACGGACCTAATATGCTTCCTTGTGGAACACCACAGCTCACTGGGAGGGGGGGGGGACAGAGTACCGTTTACCTCCACCATCTGTTCTCTCCCCTCCAGGTAGGATTGCATCCAGCTCACCGATAGTTTATCAAAACCAATTGCTTTTAGCTTGTCAATCAGAATGGGGTGATTGACAGTGTCGAAAGCCTTTTGTAGGTCCAGCATCACCATGCCGCAGTACTTGCCCTCGTCCACCTCTTTTTTGATGTGGTCGCTCAAATAAAGAAGGCATGTGTCAGTGGAGTGGGATGTTCTAAAGCCAGATTGAAATTCAGATTAGTTTATTTTCCGCGAGGTACTTTTCGACCTGTTCATATACTATTTTTTCCATGACTTTCGAGATGGAGGTAAGTATAGAAACAGGGCGGTAGTTGCCTGGGTCCAATTTGCTGCCCTTTTTGTGCAGGGGGGTTACTCTTGCAATTTTGAAGTCTTTGGGTACTTTTCCCTGTTTTATGGAGAGGTTAATTATGTGAGCTATGACTGGTGAGATGGCGGTTGCTGTGTCTCTGAGGAATTTGGAGGGGATATTGTCGTGGCCAGTGGCCTTGTTAGGTTGGAGGGCGAGAGCGCGTATGTTTTGGATTAGGCCAACCGGCTAACTCAAACATATCCAGGTTAGGTTGAACCGGCTTCGTTGTACAGGCTCAGGAAGAATACCCAATGCTTATTTCTAGTGCTAATGGGGATCCTAATAAAGAACAAAGAATCTACTTGACTGAATTATGTTGCTGTGACCCTTAACTGACTGCCGTGCAAACATGTATATATATATATATAAATATACATCCCGTGAGCTTCCGCCCGAGGCACGCAGCGACATGAGTTCAGATGTAGGCCTATCATGCGTTGAGCTCGCGGCACTAACCCACAATATTAATTGACAAGACAAGTTATTGTTTTGAACTGATGCTGTTTGTTTTGAGTAACAACAGGTCAGTGAGTTCTGCTCATTCTGACAGAATGTAAAGTTAACTTTGCGTCAGGATCCCGCTCTCCATCGCTGTTCTTTTTTCATTAATTGCCGTTTTGCTGCCCATTCTCCCACCATTACACGGCTACGTTCTAAATAAACAACAACTTGACTCGCAATATTGATTAAAGATATATATATTATTGATTAAAAAACGATCGTATTGAATCCGTATTGAACTACGGCGACAGCAACGTAACTTAAAATAAACGACAGCACTGATCGAGGTTTGTGTAATAAACAAAGTTAGCACTTTGGTAATGCTACGTCCTTACAAGTTAATATTGATGGAATGAACTTCCAATAAAGAGTCTCTTAGGCTAATTTAGGCACGTTCTGGTGACGTTTCCGGATGTTTAATAAAGAAAATTAAACATGAAATCACTGTAGCAGGATATTTGTCCACAGAAGATATCTGCGCTAAGCTTACCTTCTCTGACATGACGGCAAACAAGAGGTGCACTAAATACCTTTAAAGCACCTCCAGGTAAAAGATCGTGGAAGTGAAAACCAAATACAAGCGTGTGACAAAATAAATCATATAACTCAGGCTTAATAACCATTTTGACTCTCGGTTATTATGAATAAATGTTAACTATAAAACATAGCAGATATTTGTAGTTGGTGGACATCAGAACAGTCGGGTAAGAGAACATTTGTGTTTCTTTAAATGTATTGCACAATACCATAGAGACTAATCATTGAAGGAAGCCTTCATTACCCACCACCCCTCACTTCATTCCACCTTTAAAAAGTACAGTAGAAAGGGGCGTGGCTAAAAGTGACACTGCATTATTCATGAGGCAGGTCCTGTAACAACACAGCAGCTCCTGTGTCTGTCTGAGAGTTTCTCCTCCACACCCACACACACACACACACACACAGCAGCCTCCTGTCTCTGCACCCCGGGGAGTGTGTGTGTGAGAGAGAGAGAGAGAGAGAGAGAGAGAGAGAGAGAGAGAGAGAGAGAGAGAGAGAGAGAGAGAGAGAGAGAGAGAGAGAGAGAGAGAGGAGAGAGGAGAGAGGAGGAGAGACAGAGAGAGAGAGAGAGAGAGACAGAGTGTGTGCAACTACTTTCTGTGCTGGATCTTTAATCCCCCCGTCCTCAGTCAGCCTCTCTTTTGCTCGGGGAAAGACAACATGACGGACGCAGCCACCAACATGAGGCTGAAGCTGCCGATCATCTGCTTCATCCTGCAGATCATCCTCATCATCCTCTTCGCCACCTTGGTGCAGTACGACCACGACACGGACGCCGCGGCATGGCACAACGGGAACCACACTTCTGAGTCCGAGAACGACTTCTACTACCGGTACCCGAGTGAGTGTCCCGGGGACAGGAGGGTCAGGGGTCAAATGCTTTGAATGCTAAAGTGTGTCCAATGATGCTTTTGAAATGTATCTTTGTTCTTTAGGACAGGGATAATACAGACAGGAAAATACAACACAGAAAGTCAGACTTTTCTTTCATTAAAAGTAAAGAATAACCTTTTTTTTGTCAGTATTTACACCGTTTCTGTAACTGATGCAGAGGCTTTAGTGTAAAAGCCATGATTTAAAACAAAAATAACATCATGTGGGAGCAATTTATGATTCAACAAGAAAGGTGTGTGTGAACTCCTCCATATGTACCATTGAGAATAATCCCATTTGACTTTCTAATAATGCTTAATATATGTCTCAAACAACCCCTATCCTCTCCGACATGCTCTGAATGATAAAGTGTGTCTGCATTTAAGTAACATTAAGTATTTGTCTGAATTCACCAGACTTCTACTACCGGTACCCGAGTGAGTGTCCCGGGGACCGGAGGGTCAGGGGTCAAATGCTCCGAATAAGATTAGATAAGATCAGATGGAACTTTATTAATCCCTGTGGGTAAATTCAGTGGTTCAAACAGCAACAGGTTATGGTTGAAAAACAGCACAGATTAATACAATTAAAGATACAATTAAAATGATATACAGTTAAGTAAACTTTTAAAATAAGAAATGAATGAAAGAGGGATATATGAAATATTCACAGATAGGATTAGTTTTTTTGACAAATTGGGAAAATTGTGTCAAAAAACGGGTCATTGTGAACCCACGTTTTGTACGGTTGCAGTTTTAAACACGAGCTTTACAATTTTGACTTGTCCCTCCAAACCCCGTACGAACTCTTCCATCAACACTAAGATAAGATAATAAGATAAGAAGTACTTTATTGATCCCAAGTTGGGAAATGTTTGCGTTGCAGCAGCATAAAAAGACAAGGCATTGTAAAGTAAAAAAGGATATTATCAAAGTCAAAGTCAGCTTTATTGTCAAAATGTCTACATGTGTTATACATCCAGAAATCTCGAGATACCGTTTCCCGCAGTCCAAAAAAAGGGCCTAGATAAACGGGGTATAGAACTTAGTAATAGTTTCAATACGTGCTGGTTAATAATATAAGTGTTCAAAGTACAGTTTCAGTGCAGTAGCAGCGGAGATGGGCAGAAAGGTGACTGGTGCTGGATGAGGGAAGGGTGTGTGTGTGTGTGTGTGTGGTGTGTGTGTGTGTGTGTGTGTGGGGGGGGGTTAAAGTCCAGTTATATATACATGAGTATGTAAGGAATGGAATATTAAATATGAATGTACAGTGTACATTAATACACTCTGCTAGCAGTCCAGTAGTTCTCTTCCAGCCAGAGGAGATGTGTTAGAGAGTTATTGCAGTGGGAATGTTTTCCTGTATCTGTCCTTGTAAATGCTAAAGTGTGTCTGAATTGGAACTGTTACTAACTTGAAAGACATGGGTGCTTTCACAAGAAATTAAATCCAGATTGTGTCAATCTTTTGTGAATTATAGAGCTCTGACAACATTGCATGTCTTGAACAAATACTTTTAAAAGGTTTTCAGTTAGAAATGAAGGGGCTTGGCTACGTATCCCACTTCTGACAGTTACTCATTGGAGAGACAATATGTCTCATCAGATTTTAGACACTGTTATTGTAAAAAGTGAATCCTGGTTTCAGAGGCTGCATTTCAGTAACATTAAGTCCATATTCTGAATTCACCAGACTTCTTTCAGTGTAAGTTATGATTCAACAATGCTTAAGAAAAGTGATGCAATGGTTACTTCTGAAAAACTGAAGCTGTAATTATTGGATATAGGACACACAAAGGTTGCACCAAAGAAAGGTGTGTGAACTCTTCCATATGTACCATTGAGACTAATCCCATTTGCCTTTCTAATAATGCTTAATATATGTCTCTAACAACCCCTATCCTCTCCTACATGCTCTCCAAGTGATCTCAATACCTGTAAGTATTTCCTTCCTGCATGCCACCCAACTTACTTACATGTTTTAGAATCATTTAGTTCCTGCAAACTCATCAGGAGGAGAAGCTGTTTGTTGTGTGAAGAGAATGAGAGCTCTCAGCTGCACTAATTGGACGCGTCCCATTCTCTCCGGGTTCATAGAAATGTCTTCCGGTCCGCTGGAGGAAGATCCATTGATCGTTCATTTCCTCATTTACACGGATTGATGGTGTAGAAGAAAACGTGCCAAACACAGGCCGCGGATTACAGATGCATTCGTAAAACACATTGTATATCCTTTGACACCATGCACAAAGTTAAAAGTCGTGTTTCAGCATTAAATACTCTGAACCTATCAGTAAAATGAACTCCCTAAAATAGAATATACTAAAGGATATGAATATGTAGTCGTGTGTTTGATTTTGCACTTCAAATGTCAGAAAAATCTCTAGGGGATAACATCGTTTAATCCTTTTTTTTATTTCTCGCTTTCATTGTGGATTTGAAAAGCACGGATTATCTTTTTTAATATATTTTTTCCCAGTGGATAACCAAAGTACAAAACTAAAAGTATTAAAAACCCATAAGTAATACTAACACATAACAAAAATCTAAAACAACAACAAACATATGAAATAAAAAGACAGAAAGGAGGGAAAAGGGGAGAGAAAGGAGACAAGGAAAGGAGAGGAGGAAGTATAATGTGTATCTACTTGTCTTTTTATTAACATAATAAGGAAATATTTTATTAAAAATGTCAAGATAGCAGATAAACAGATTAGCAAAGAGACACTAACTTCCCCACTATTCCACCTTAAAACAAATCCAGCTAAAGTCACATGTTGGAGGGGGGTGTGTCCCAACAAGTGGCACACAGACACAGGGGTTACCTGGGCGTCCCTCAGGTGTTAGGGGGAGGTGTCCCGGGGCAGAGCAGAACATGAGGAGAATGTAGAGACGAAAGCTTTTAAACTCTTAATGAAATCTCAAACAGCCTCCCCCTGCAGGCAGCTCACTCTAATGAAGTCTCTCTGTCAGACACTGATGTGAAGTATGCCATTTAAAACTGAAACTCACCAGCAGGGAGACATTTAACATCTGGTGGACAAAAGTAGAAAAATACTATCAAAGGGACAGTGTAGATAAAACATCAGTATGTAGTGTCTCTACTTTAAAGAGTCCTCTCCTGCTGATGTTCAGGTGTATATCAGTATGTAGTGTCTCTACTTTAAAGAGTCCTCTCCTGCTGATGTTCAGGTGTATATCAGTATGTAGTGTCTCTACTTTAAAGAGTCCTCTCCTGCAGATGTTCAGGTTTATATCAGTATGTAGTGTCTCTACTTTAAAGAGTCCTCTCCTGCAGATGTTCAGGTGTATATCAGTATGTAGTGTCTCTACTTTAAAGAGTCCTCTCCTGCTGATGTTCAGGTGTATATCAGTATGTAGTGACTCTACTTTAAAGAGTCCTCTCCTGCTGATGTTCAGGTGTATATCAGTATGTAGTGTCTCTACTTTAAAGAGTCCTCTCCTGCTGATGTTCAGGTGTATATCAGTATGTAGTGTCTCTACTTTAAAGAGTCCTCTCCTGCTGATGTTCAGGTGTATATCAGTATGTAGTGTCTCTACTTTAAAGAGTCCTCTCCTGCTGATGTTCAGGTGTATATCAGTATGTAGTGTGTCTCTACTTTAAAGAGTCCTCTCCTGCTGATGTTCAGGTGTATATCAGTATGTAGTGTCTCTACTTTAAAGAGTCCTCTCCTGCTGATGTTCAGGTGTATATCAGTATGTAGTGTCTCTACTTTAAAGAGTCCTCTCCTGCTGATGTTCAGGTGTATATCAGTATGTAGTGTCTCTACTTTAAAGAGTCCTCTCCTGCTGATGTTCAGGTGTATATCAGTATGCAGTGTCTCTACTTTAAAGAGTCCTCTTCTGCTGTTGGGGGGTGTGAGAGAAACTCTCTCTAGAGGGAACACAGGGATTTCAGCCTTTGCAGACCATTTTCATGCACTAAAACGTATATAAAACCACAAAAAGCATTGTTTGGCCTCTTTAAACAATATACTGTATATTTTACCATTAAGCTTAACGTCACCTGCAAAATGCCTCAAAGAGACTGTAGCGTTACTGTAGAATTTTATATTTCAACGTTAGATTTGGTGGAATTCCCTTGTGGAAATTCTCCAACTTAAAGAAGTTTCGGCGGTTTAACTATGTGGCAATGCAAGTGAAAGATTACTATCAAAATCAAACAATACTGACAGTTTGTAGAAGACAGGACACCTGCATCTGCTTACGTCAAAGCCCTTCATTTTACTTCCTTAACAATCAAACCAATCCCATTTTCAGGACTCTTGATTTCATACTACTTTTGCTTTTACTTCTAACATGAACAACACACTGGAGGTTGCCTCTGCAGCACTATTTAAAACCCACAGAATCAACCTATACTGCCTGAGGATAGAGAAATAATCGCAGAGAGTAAAGGTCCATTAGCTTTAACGGCTGCTGATAATCTTTAACCTGACACCTTCACTGTCACGGGAGCTGAATCAGAAGTCAACCTTCATGTGTGAGTGCTGTGTATACACAACCTCCATCCTCACTGCACGCCTGGAAAGAAGTGTACCATAAACACACAGGTTCTGCAGGGCAGCTTGTAAATCTGTGTGTCGGGGTCTTATAGTCAATGCATTGACGGTCCTATCTGCTCCTGTGAGATAAGGATGGTATGTGAACTGATAATATTCCTTTACAAGTCACCCTCATGGGCAACAGATCTCCTGAAGGTGAACAAAGCGGTCGAAAAGGCATTGAAGGAGCTTGTCGAGATTTTATCTCAATGGGACCCGGTAATACGCATACCATCAATTATCAATGGGAACATTTGTAATATTAAAAGTCAAAGAAGTGGCTGTAGCTGCATTACATTATCAGTATGTAGTGTCTTTAAAGAGTCCTCTACTGCAGATGTTCAGGTGTATATCAGTATGTAGTGTCTCTACTTTAAAGAGTCCTCTCCTGCTGATGTTCAGGTGTATATCAGTATGTAGTGTCTCTACTTTAAAGAGTCCTCTCCTGCTGATGTTCAGGTGTATATCAGTATGTAGTGTCTCTACTTTAAAGAGTCCTCTACTGCAGATGTTCAGGTGTATATCAGTATGTAGTGTCTCTACTTTAAAGAGTCCTCTCCTGATGATGTTCAGGTGTATATCAGTATGTAGTGTCTCTACTTTAAAGAGTCCTCTCCTGCTGATGTTCAGGTGTATATCAGTATGTAGTGTCTCTACTTTAAAGAGTCCTCTCCTGCTGATGTTCAGGTGTATATCAGTATGTAGTGTCTCTACTTTAAAGAGTCCTCTACTGCAGATGTTCAGGTGTATATCAGTATGTAGTGTCTCTACTTTAAAGAGTCCTCTCCTGATGATGTTCAGGTGTATATCAGTATGTAGTGTCTCTACTTTAAAGAGTCCTCTCCTGCAGATGTTCAGGTGTCTATCAGTAGTGTCTCTACTTTAAAGAGTCCTCTCCTGATGATGTTCAGGTGTATATCAGTATGTAGTGTCTCTACTTTAAAGAGTCCTCTCCTGCTGATGTTCAGGTGTATATCAGTATGTAGTGTCTCTACTTTAAAGAGTCCTCTCCTGCTGATGTTCAGGTGTATATCAGTATGTAGTGTCTCTACTTTAAAGAGTCCTCTCCTGCTGATGTTCAGGTGTATATCAGTATGTAGTGTCTCTACTTTAAAGAGTCCTCTCCTGCTGATGTTCAGGTGTATATCAGTATGTAGTGTCTCTACTTTAAAGAGTCCTCTCCTGCTGATGGTCAGGTGTATATCAGTATGTAGTGTCTCTACTTTAAAGAGTCCTCTCCCGCTCATGTTCAGGTGTATATCAGTATGTAGTGTCTCTACTTTAAAGAGTCCTCTCCTGCTGATGTTCAGGTGTATATCAGTATGTAGTGTCTCTACTTTAAAGAGTTCTCTCCTGCTGATGTTCAGGTGTATATCAGTATGTAGTGTCTCTACTTTAAAGAGTCCTCTCCTGATGATGTTCAGGTGTATATCAGTATGTAGTGTCTCTACTTTAAAGAGTCCTCTCCTGCTGATGTTCAGGTGTATATCAGTATGTAGTGTCTCTACTTTAAAGAGTCCTCTCCTGCTGATGTTCAGGTGTATATCAGTATGTAGTGTCTCTACTTTAAAGAGTCCTCTCCTGCTGATGTTCAGGTGTATATCAGTATGTAGTGTCTCTACTTTAAAGAGTCCTCTCCTGCTGATGTTCAGGTGTATATCAGTATGTAGTGTCTCTACTTTAAAGAGTCCTCTCCCGCTCATGTTCAGGTGTATATCAGTATGTAGTGTCTCTACTTTAAAGAGTCCTCTCCCACTCATGTTCAGGTGTATATCAGTATGTAGTTTTTTATGGCCCATATCACACACTAAACTATCCACATAATTCAGATGTATTTGGCTGTTTTTTGTGTGTCTTGTGTGAACTTTCCCTTTAAAGAAACCCTACCAATAAACCCTTTAGCTAAGAATTCAATAGAGAGATTAAGAGTCCCCACAATGGTTGAACTCCATGAAATAATTGAAGGAAAACTTCAATCTTTGTGGAAATTAACCATTCAAAATGGTCAAATGTAATCAAATAAATTGGGAAGAAATATCAGTTTCCCTTCAACAGAACTCACTTGACAGTAGGACACTAATTTGGCACAGCAGAACTTATTATTGGTTTGATTTTGTGGGGTCCTCCTGAATATCAGAGAGTTTATCTGGGACAAATTGCTAACAGGGACACCGGCAACACCTGCAACCAAGCCATGCCAATGAATGGTCCCCATGGTGACAGCAGCTACTGCACAGGGCAATATTGTGTGTGGTACAAATAAGTGACAATTTGAAAGCAGTGCTTGAAACAAGATAATGAGTTGGGTTGGAAGTTGGATTCATAAGAGTCTCATAATAACGTTTAGGTTCTTGGTTTCAAAATAATAATGTCCTGATGGAAGAGCATTGTGCAGGCTGGGGTCCCCGCTGACCAGAGCTTATGTAACTGTGCTGAATTACAGAGAAAGGCTGCTTTCAATGACAAAGCCCTCAAGTGACTCAGTTGTTGGCAGTAAACTGGTGTTTTTGTTGATGGAGGCTTTTGAGGAACGCACATATTATGTCGATCTACATGACTAGCATCCTCGCTGAAGTGCTCTTGGTACTCTACTACATGGATTTGTATTATAACTAGTATAAAAGGACATTTAAATATCATCAAAACAGAAAAGGAGGGAATAGTTCAAAAGTTTTATGGTTTAGCTTCGATCAAGTTTTCAAGTTACGTTTTCTGCAGTCAACTAAAGGTGTATTGGTTAGTCAATTAATCTTTTGTTTGATTGACGGAAAATTAATCAGTAGCATTTTGGATATTCAATCAATCATTAAAGTCAAAATGGAAGACAAGCAGTTTTGCCTATGGTTTCTGCAAAGTGTCAACAGCCGTTCCTCACACATTTCTCACTATTTCTAGATTTTATAATCCATCAAACAAGAAAGTAATTGGCAGATTAACAGAAAATGCATAGGCAGCACTAAAGTTGATTATTGCACCAACATCAATGCTGTGCTTGCATGTTTTTAAGATGAGAAGAAAAAAAAGATAAGGGCCCCATATCGAGCCTTGTGGCACTCCACTTTTTTAGTATGTTAATCGATCATTCTTTTTACCATCTAAACCGATGTTTTCTACATTATGCAGGTTTCCAGGATGTGCACGTGATGATCTTCATCGGCTTCGGCTTCCTTATGACCTTCCTGCAGCGCTATGGCTTCAGCAGCGTGGGCTTCAACTTCCTTATCGCATCATTCGCCCTGCAGTGGGCCACGCTCATGCAGGGCTTTTTCCACGGTATGCATGGAGGCAAGATCCACATCGGGGTGGAGAGGTACGTGGTAACCACACTGTACATGCATCAATACATACAGACCGCTGACAAATACATACAGAACCAATATGTTGGACATCAATGGGATATCAAGAGGAATCGATGTCTTGAGAATCAGAATTAGAAATCTTGTATTCGTCCCACAGAAGGGACATTTAGACCAGCAAAGGGACAGTGCAGATAAAAGAGATATACTTACACTCCCTCTGTAGGTATCTTTGAGATTTTAGCATTTGCTGACCATTTCCATGCACAAAAACCTATATAACACACAACAGGAAAGGGGAAAACCCTAAAAAGCAGGATAGGGCCTCTTCAAAAGTTGTTGAATCAAGTGGAATGAAATGTTTTGGCCAACCAGACTTAAACAATACTTCCTAAATATATATTGAATTGAACACCTCAGACAGAACATTAGATATCATATTGTCCATGCCCACAAGATCCTGTAGTAATGTCTAACTGTTTTTCTTTCAGCATGATCAATGCTGATTTCTGCACTGGGGCTGTGCTCATCTCATTTGGAGCGGTTCTGGGTAAAACCAGCCCGATCCAGCTGCTGGTCATGGCGATGTTCGAGGTCACACTGTTTGCTATCAATGAGTTCATCCTGCTTTCCGTTCTGGGGGTGAGTTGAAAAATCTCACTGAAAGATTGTACAACATACGTATCTTTATTCTTCCAATATGTCTAATTTCATATGCTTTGGCTTACTTTCTTTTAGGCCAAGGATGCCGGAGGCTCCATGACGATCCACACGTTTGGAGCTTACTTCGGACTTATGGTGACCCGAGTCCTGTACCGGCCAAACCTGGATAAGAGCAAACACAGGAACAGCTCGGTGTACCACTCGGACCTGTTCGCCATGATCGGTAAACATCTATTCAAAAGTCAGACAGAGAGATCGAAATGACGTTTCCAACAATCCCGAATACGAACATAAAATTATACAGATATGTATAAACATTTGTAAAATATATATATCCTATACACAATCAACAGACACATTTACATGTATGCACACATTAAGATAAAAGAACACAGCAATCAATATACAAAAATAACAGTTCAAGCTGGGTTTTATTGTTCTCTGTCGACAAGAATACTTGTTCTGTTAGTGTATTCTAGAACCCTGAAGGCAGGAGAGACTGAAAAGAGTCAAGGGAAGCTTATAAAAGTTAACTGCATTTAATTACACAAAAGATGCGGTGGTGTACAAAATGAAATGTGCGAGTGGAGGCGCTCTCCTCATCCGACCGCTCAGTCCAGGTCAGCAGGTAGAAGAGGTCAATTATTGGCTTGCTCTTCCTGTTGTCATCTGAGGTCTTCTCCTATTGGCCGGGGGCGGGTCCAATGCAATTCCTGCCTTTTTCTGTTGTTAAATTACATCATTCTGGTGTCTGTGGTTATTTAAACATTCCCTAATAAACGTTATTCAGCGGTAACAAATGAGTGCTAAACCCAGTGTGTCATTTCACCTTTGATTCACGGTTTGAAAATGTAACATTTTGCCGCATGCTAATGCTAACCGGAAGTGAATAATTTTCAGAATAAAAGTATTAAGTTAATAGTTAGTGTGAACTTCCGGTTTTTCATAATAAAAAAAAAAGTATTTAATTCAAATTACGCCATATCAACATTGATTTTAATTTCTAACAGCTGCCATCTGTCTTGCTAAGGAATGTAAAATGTCCAACTGATTTCAACACAAATCAGGTGTCAGGTTGTCAGGTTTGGTCACCTTGAAACTCATTGAAATCCATCCAGCAATGCTTTTCCTCCACAATATATTGGATTTAGAAGGAAATTGCTCTGAAATTCAGTGTTTTGTTTAAACAAAAAATAAGTTTTTACTAAAGAGAAACTGTACTTAATTTGACTTTAACACAAATGACTCATGACTTTTGTTTGCTTTTCATTTGGGTTTTGTTGTCCTCCTTACCTGAAAAGTTATAATGCTTCCTAGATTCAATCAGCAAGCAGCCGACCTTGTTGTGTTGTACTTTGTCAATTATTTTAGTCATTATTTCATAACATTGGGTTGGCATGGTCAGTCTAAAAGCAGCCTTTAAGCAATGGACCTTGTCTTTGTTCTTGTCAATAGTAGTACAAAAACTAACTCAAGAAAACTGGTGTTCTTGATCTTATCCCCTTTAACTGGAATTACATAAATTGGGTCTTGATCAAAGCTTTGAACTGACACACAAGTTGAAGTATTGAACTTCTGTCTCTTAGAAGGATCTTGACTTGTATCATCTCTTGCCTTTTGGTTAACCTCCAGGTCTAATATATCACTGTAAAACATGCCGTTAGCAGTGACGACTCATTGGTGGAATTGCCCAATGCAGCTTTAACATCACATAATCAACCAACTGAATGCTGTCCTTACTGCTTTTATTTCTCAGGTACCATCTTCCTGTGGATGTACTGGCCCAGCTTCAACTCTGCAGTCACGGCTCACGGAGACGACCAGCATCGCACAGCCATGAACACTTACTACTCCCTGGCCGCCTGCACCATGGCCACATACGGCATGTCCGCCCTCACTGCACACGACGGAAAGCTTGATATGGTGAGGACACATTATCATCACATACATTAAATGGTGGTGCCAAAAATAAGTTCAAATCGCCAGAGGTGGGAAGTACAAATACTTTGTTACTGTACCTAAGTACATTTTTCTGGTATCAGTACTTTACTCAACTACTTGTTTTTCTGATGACTTTTTACTTTTACTTCTTACATTTTGAACACAAATACCTGAACTTTCTACTTCTTACATGTTGAACACAAATACCTGTACTTTCTACTTCTTACATGTTGAACACAAATACCTGTACTTTCTACTTCTTACATGTTGAACTCAAACACCTGTACTTTCTACTTCTTACATGTTGAACACAAATACCTGTACTTTCTACTTCTTACATGTTGAACACAAATACCTGTACTTTCTACTTCTTACATGTTGAACTCAAATACCTGTACTTTCTACTTCTTACATGTTGAACTCAAATACCTGTACTTTCTACTTCTTACATGTTGAACTCAAATACCTGTACTTTCTACTTCTCACATGTTGAACTCAAATACCTGTACTTTCTACTTCTTACATGTTGAACTCAAATACCTGTACTTTCTACTTCTTACATGTTGAACACAAATACCTGTACTTTCTACTTCTTACATGTTGAACTCAAATACCTGTACTTTCTACTTCTTACATGTTGAACCCAAATACCTGTACTTTCTGCTTCTTACATTTTGAATACAAATGCCTGTACTTTCTACTTCTTACATTTTGAACACTAATACCTGTACTTTCTACTTCTTACATGTTGAACTCAAATGCATGTACTTTCTACTTCTTACATGTTGAACCCAAATACCTGTACCTTCTACTTCTTACATGTTGAACCCAAATACCTGTACCTTCTACTTCTTACATGTTGAACCCAAATACCTGTACTTTCTACTTCTTACATGTTGAACCCAAATACCTGTACTTTCTACTTCTTACATTTTGAACACTAATACCTGTACTTTCTACTTCTTACATGTTGAACTCAAATGCATGTACTTTCTACTTCTTACATGTTGAACACAAATACCTGTACTTTCTACTTCTTACATGTTGAACTCAAATACCTGTACTTTCTACTTCTTACATGTTGAACCCAAATACCTGTACCTTCTACTTCTTACATGTTGAACCCAAATACCTGTACTTTCTACTTCTTACATGTTGAACCCAAATACCTGTACCTTCTACTTCTTACATGTTGAACCCAAATACCTATACTTTCTACTTCTTACATGTTGAACACAAATACCTGTACTTTCTACTTCTTACATGTTGAACCCAAATACCTGTACTTTCTACTTCTTACATGTTGAACACAAATACCTGTACTTTCTACTTCTTACATTTTGAACACTAATACCTGTACTTTCTACTTCTTACATTTTGAACCCAAATACCTGTACTTTCTACTTCATACATGTTGAACCCAAATACCTGTACTTTCTACTTCTTACATGTTGAACACAAATACCTGTACTTTCTACTTCTTACATTTTGAACACTACTACCTGTACTTTCTACTTCTTACATGTTGAACCCAAATACCTGTACTTTCTACTTCTTACATTTTGAACACTAATACCTGTACTTTCTACTTCTTACATGTTGAACACAAATACCTGTACTTTCTACTTCTTACATGTTGAACCCAAATACCTGTACTTTCTGCTTCTTACATTTTGAATACAAATACCTGTACTTTCTACTTCTTACATGTTGAACACAAATACCTGTACTTTCTACTTCTTACATTTTGAACACTAATACCTGTACTTTCTACTTCTTACATGTTGAACTCAAATACCTGTACTTTCTACTTCTTACATGTTGAACCCAAATACCTGTACCTTCTACTTCTTACATGTTGAACCCAAATACCTGTACCTTCTACTTCTTACATGTTGAACCCAAATACCTGTACTTTCTACTTCTTACATGTTGAACCCAAATACCTGTACTTTCTACTTCTTACATTTTGAACACTAATACCTGTACTTTCTACTTCTTACATGTTGAACTCAAATACCTGTACTTTCTACTTCTTACATGTTGAACCCAAATACCTGTACCTTCTACTTCTTACATGTTGAACCCAAATACCTGTACCTTCTACTTCTTACATGTTGAACCCAAATACCTGTACTTTCTACTTCTTACATGTTGAACCCAAATACCTGTACTTTCTACTTCTTACATTTTGAACACTAATACCTGTACTTTCTACTTCTTACATGTTGAACTCAAATGCATGTACTTTCTACTTCTTACATGTTGAACACAAATACCTGTACTTTCTACTTCTTACATGTTGAACTCAAATACCTGTACTTTCTACTTCTTACATGTTGAAACCCAAATACCTGTACCTTCTACTTCTTACATGTTGAACCCAAATACCTGTACTTTCTACTTCTTACATGTTGAACCCAAATACCTGTACTTTCTACTTCTTACATGTTGAACACAAATACCTGTACTTCTACTTCTTACATGTTGAACCCAAATACCTGTACCTTCTACTTCTTACATGTTGAACCCAAATACCTGTACCTTCTACTTCTTACATGTTGAACCCAAATACCTGTACTTTCTACTTCTTACATGTTGAACACAAATACCTGTACTTTCTACTTCTTACATGTTGAACCCAAATACCTGTACCTTCTACTTCTTACATGTTGAACACAAATACCTGTACTTTCTACTTCTTACATGTTGAACTCAAATACCTGTACTTTCTACTTCTTACATGTTGAACCCAAATACCTGTACCTTCTACTTCTTACATGTTGAACCCAAATACCTGTACTTTCTACTTCTTACATGTTGAACCCAAATACCTATACTTTCTACTTCTTACATGTTGAACACAAATACCTGTACTTTCTACTTCTTACATGTTGAACCCAAATACCTGTACTTTCTACTTCTTACATGTTGAACACTAATACCTGTACTTTCTACTTCTTACATTTTGAACACTAATACCTGTACTTTCTACTTCTTACATTTTGAACACTAATACCTGTACTTTCTACTTCTTACATGTTGAACACAAATACCTGTACTTTCTACTTCTTACATTTTGAACACAAATACCTGTACTTTCTACTTCTTACATGTTGAACCCAAATACCTGTACTTTCTACTTCTTACATGTTGAACACAAATACCTGTACTTTCTACTTCTTACATGTTGAACCCAAATACCTGTACTTTCTACTTCTTACATTTTGAATACAAATGCCTGTACTTTCTACTTCTCACATGTTGAACTCAAATACCTGAACTTTCTACTTCTTACATGTTGAACACAAATACCTGTACTTTCTACTTCTTACATGTTGAACCCAAATACCTGTACTTTCTACTTCTTACATTTTGAATACAAATGCCTGTACTTTCTACTTCTCACATTTTGAACACTAATACCTGTACTTTCTACTTCTTACATTTTGAACACTAATACCTGTACTTTCTACTTCTTACATTTTGAACACTAATACCTGTACTTTCTACTTCTTACATGTTGAACCCAAATACCTGTACTTTCTACTTCTTACATGTTGAACACAAATACCTGTACTTTCTACTTCTTACATGTTGAACCCAAATACCTGTACTTTCTACTTCTTACATTTTGAACACAAATACCTGTACTTTCTACTTCTTACATGTTGAACACAAATACCTGTACTTTCTACTTCTTACATGTTGAACACAAATACCTGTACTTTCTACTTCTTACATGTTGAACCCAAATACCTGTACTTTCTACTTCATACATGTTGAACCCAAATACCTGTACTTTCTACTTCATACATGTTGAACCCAAATACCTGTACTTTCTACTTCTTACATGTTGAACACAAATACCTGTACTTTCTACTTCTTACATTTTGAACACTAATACCTGTACTTTCTACTTCTTACATGTTGAACCCAAATACCTGTACTTTCTACTTCTTACATTTTGAACACTAATACCTGTACTTTCTACTTCTTACATGTTGAACCCAAATACCTGTACTTTCTGCTTCTTACATTTTGAATACAAATACCTGTACTTTCTACTTCTTACATGTTGAACACAAATACCTGTACTTTCTACTTCTTACATGTTGAACTCAAATACCTGTACTTTCTACTTCTTACATTTTGAACACTAATACCTGTACTTTCTACTTCTTACATGTTGAACCCCAAATACCTGTACTTTCTACTTCTTACATTTTGAACACTAATACCTGTACTTTCTACTTCTTACATGTTGAACACAAATACCTGTACTTTCTACTTCTTACATGTTGAACACAAATACCTGTACTTTCTACTTCTTACATGTTGAACCCAAATACCTGTACTTTCTACTTCTTACATGTTGAACTCAAATACCTGTACTTTCTACTTCTTACATGTTGAACACTAATACCTGTACTTTCTACTTCTTACATGTTGAACCCAAATACCTGTACTTTCTACTTCTTACATTTTGAACACTAATACCTGTACTTTCTGCTTCTTACATTTTGAATACAAATGCCTGTACTTTCTACTTCTTACATTTTGAACACTAATACCTGTACTTTCTGCTTCTTACATTTTGAATACAAATACCTGTACTTTCTACTTCTTACATTTTGAACACTAATACCTGTACTTTCTACTTCTTACATGTTGAACTCAAATACCTGTACTTTCTACTTCTTACATTTTGAACACTAATACCTGTACTTTCTACTTCTTACATTTTGAACTCAAATACCTGTACTTTCTACTCCTCACATGTTGAACTCAAATACCTGTACTTTCTACTTCTCTCATTTTCCAAACAGCTGGTTCCTTTAGTCTGAATGTGTGTTTGGTGCGTGATCATTATTCTTTAGAGTCATTGCGTGCCTATTGATTTGAACACGATCCGTGTATCCATCATTTCCTGGTCTTCTCTAAAGAAGAGGGACCAATGGAAACGTTGTCATGTTGCCGTTGTTCAGCATGGAAACATTCATTAGCTAACAATGACATTATTGTTCTATTAATATAAAGGGAGGTCAGGTACTCTTTAAAACAGCTGCTAGTTATGGGTACTTTTTACTGAAGTACACTTCAAAGCCCATACTTCTTTACTTTTACTTGAGTACAGAAGCTTAGTCAGTATTTTTGAACACGAGTATGTGTACTTCTACTTGAGTAAAGGATATGTGTACTTTCGCCATCTCTGAAAATAGCCAAATAATCACCCTTTTTAGAGGTAGAAGATGAAACAGCCTGGCAGCGGGTAAAAGGACGGACTCTTGCTTTAATCAGTGCTTAAGTAAAGACAAAAGACAAAAGTCTCTGGAGAAAGAACTAGTTTTGCTATATCTTGAATTCCTGGGTGGATTTTATCTTAGTTTGAACCTCATGACTGAGTGACTCAAAAGATAAAAGCTGATGGATGTGTCACCGGAAAACACATACCCACCCCCCAAAAATTGTAAGTCGTGGTTGAATCACATGTTCAGGAACCACGAGTCAAACGCAGCTGGGAACAGTAAATCTTTCTGATTTCAAGATGGGACATTCCTGTACTGATAGTGATCAAACCGAAGAAGCATAATGGACAAGGGAGTGGACATACCATATAGCTTGCTCCTTCTACAGCTGTGCAGATAGTGATCAGGACCAAAAAAACATCTGAAAAGTAGCATACTTAATTCGTAGGTTCAATAACATACAAATGTGGTGCACGGGATTGCATAGAAGCAAAACAAATGATATATTGAATACATAACACATTGTTTTTGGAGTGTTTATTTATCTCCTTACTAGAATTTATGTGCAAAAAACATATTTCCATTCTCCCGCCGCGTAGGGTAATCTAGGCTAACCTGCTATCATAGCTAACTAAGTATGTGTCGAGTACTTTTAAGCAGCTTGTGGAGGGAGGTCTGCACTTCATGTTTTCGATTCTCTTACCTCATGTCATGACTATTCAACCCAGTCTCATGGCATTTCGTCTTCACCGATTTTTAATCTATTGATTCGTGTTCACCAACACGATTTTCCCCTTTTTTTCGTGTTGCACAGCACGATTTTAAAAGCAATGTATTTCTACTGCCTGCAGCACGTCTTTTTCTCCGGTCGAGTCGTGGAAGACCGGAAGCTGTGTGGTTCATAAAAACATGTTAAAGCCACAATTATTGCTTTTATTTTAAATCGTATAATTTCGGAATTTTTTTGCCGTCTGTGAGGAAAATAAATGGGGCTCAGAGCCTCAGAATACGGAAATCTGTATTTTTTAAATCTTTTTTTCCTTCTAATTTGTTATTCTTTTCAAAATAACACACTGTTATTTACTCACCAATAACACACAATTATCCTTGCTTTTATTTATTGGTTTAATTCCATAATCTCGTGCTTTTTTGGCGTCCGTCAGGAACTGAATTTCAAAATAAAAATAACCGGAAACAGAAGTAGGCATTTCGAGCGATTACCCAAGATCCTCAGCTATGGTTTAAGCTCGCTGATTTTCAACGTGAACCTGCTTTATTCAAATAAAGCAGGTTCACGTTGAAAATCGGAGATTCTCCCAGCACACTTTTCGGTTGCAGCTAACGTTAGCTTGGCGTGTTTCTCTGATAACTTCAGATACAGACGTCCCATCACTAAACCCCTTGGTGGTTAGGTTAGCATTGATAATATCACCGAAGCAGATCTGCCACATTTCAGTTCGGCGCTCCACCCCATGGTAATACTGTTAGCTTTGGTACCCTGTTGCTTTTATTTGTGCTAGTAGCAATGTTAGCTGCTAGCTGGTCTATCATCCGTTACCATGTTGAGACTCATAAGGAAGCAATCTCTCCATCATAAACATGCTTTAGTTTTGAATTGAGAACCTTAAAGTGTAAGCTAGCTTTAGATATACTAGCTTTTGAATATCTAAAGTTGGCAAAAGTTCATTGTTTATTCACGCTGTGAGCTGTAAGCCGACAGTGGCAGTGATCCAGTCTGTAATCTTTGGTGTTTCTGCTAAGAGGCTCAGTCAGGGCGCGATTACTATCTAGAATCCAGATGCCTCGCAAATATTTAGTTACACTCTTTTATAGTCAGTTAACTGTTCGATTATATTTTCTGTATATGTTGTATCCCAACCTGAAGGATTATATTATGTTTAAAGCATTTTCTACACAGCCATGAGTTCATTCGTAGAAATATGCATGCATCATGTTCAGTATTTATTAAAGTCTTCAACATCAAGATTCCTGCGGTTACATTTAAAGTTGCTATAATCATATGTGGGTGTCCATTATCATCTGGCCAGGGACAACAGCTGGAATTAGCAATGTTGGCCTAAAGCTGCCCCATTTACTGTTTTAGTGACAGCTGATCTATGGGGGACTGTCCATGACACTATGACAAATACACTAAACTAAATATTAGGGATGTTACGTTGGGCGAACGATTCGATTCTTTTGAACGGCTCTTTGAAAGAGAACCGAGTCGTACTTGGTGAGAACGCCGTTCTGCCATAAATCCACTCACCTTTATATGAACAGTGAAAAAGCTTGATTTTGTTCCCCCAAGCGTATTCTGTGAAGACCTGCCCCAGGAGTGCCTCTGATTACAGAGGGTCAATTCAAAGTAGTAAATTCACTGACATGAACTACATGGATATGGCGCCAGCTTGTGTAATGTTCACAATGCAGATTATTAACTTAAAAAAACCCGGCTCTTTTCAACGGCTCTCGGAAAGGAACTGAACCATAAGATCCAGCTCCCTTCGAAGAGCCGTAATTCCCATCACTATTAAATATATCCTATAATAAAAATAACAATTTCAATAAGGTTTCAATTTAGCTCAACAGTAGTTTCAGGTGCAGTGCAAGACACTTTTAGAGGATTAAAGTGTAATCTTGCTCTGTCTTGACTGTATACAAACCTCTGCAAAATGCTGAAAACAATAAAGAAAATTGGAACATAATAACTTAAAATCATTTTTCTTCTCCTTAGGTCCACATCCAGACACGCGGCGCTGGGCCGGCGGCGTGGCAGAAGGAACAGCCGGAGAGATGATGCTAACGCCGTACGGATTCCATGATCGTCGGCTTCCTGGCCGGCATCATCTCTGTGCTGGGATTCAAGTTCCCTCACGGTGAGCGTGACTCAGCTTTTAATCATCAAGCCTTTCTTTTCTTTTTCTTTTTATTACTGCCGATTTTTTAATATGTATATGTTGCATGGTTGGAGGAGCTCAGGTCAGAAGGATTGCATTGCTCTTTCTACACAACCGTAGCTTATGACAATAAAACCTTTGAATGTAATTGAATGATACTGATACATTTGAAGTAGAGAAAAAGCATGAAAAATACTTGCTTTTCTTATATGTTAAAGGTCTCCATGCAAAATGCACTTTTTAATGTCCTTTATACATAAATATGTGTCCCCGGTGCGTCGGGAGACTCACGCAGCGTCAGAGAATAAAACCCTCTCTCTTTTCCTCCGTACCCAAATCTCTAAAAACGGGGGAACAACGCAGCTGATCCAGATTTGCGTCCGATATGACGTAATATCTGAAATGTGGGCGGGCTTTAGACCCACGAGCCTATCAGAAACGTTGCTGTCAGAAACGCAGACGTGTTTTGGCTGTATTATGGGTCTGTGTTTACATTAGCATGCTAACACTCAGAGCTAACCTGTACTGGAGAGAGTTTGTGTGAAGAAGCAGGAAATAAAAAGGACCCACCTTGTGGGTAAACCTGAGAGAGAGAAAGCATCTGAGCTCCATACTGTTTCAGAAATAATCCTTGAAGTGTCCATAATCCATAGATATGTTTTTAATATTTTTTATATATCTGATACCCATGATATATGCCTAAAAATAGCATGATAGGAGATCTTTAAATGATCTTTCTTCTTCATCATCTTCATCATCATCTTCTTCTTCTTCTTCTTCAGCCCATCCTGGAGGAGAAGCTGAAGATCCAGGACACCTGTGGGGTTAACAATCTGCACGGCATGCCCGGCATCCTGGGAGCATCGTGGGAGCGGTGGACCGCTGCCGTGGCAAACTACAGACGTTTATGGAAAAGGGTAAAACATTTAGTTACTTAAAACACTTATCGTTTCGAGCTGCTAAAGTTCCAGAAATGTTGAGGACCACCAAAGTTCCCAGCACGTAGAAACTGCCGGATGCTAACTTGTATATATCGGGCAATTTGCACAATTAGTAAGTAGAGTTAATTAGCATTATAGCCTATATGGACATTCGTTTTCTTTGAATGGCTTGGCCGAGGATGAGAAATGGCAGTTTTAACCAGAAAAGGCCAATATCTGCACTCTCTGGGGGGATGATTTGGACGAGTTGTGGGTCGATTTTTGAAGATTGGCTCATCTGGATTGGACAGATTGACAAATTGTCCACAGTAGAGGTAATAATTGATATCCTTGTCAATTCTATTTCCAATGGTCTCAACACTACTCATGGTCAAAATGGTGGGATGATACAATTCCACAATGCAACAAATGATATCCCAAAGGAAACGTTACATATTAAATAGGACTTCTTCTTATTCACAGTAATCTGTGAAGGTGTGTGTTCCTGTATGAAAGCCAACTGTATTGTCAATGGTTCAGTTTGTGTGTACAGACAGAGAGATATATAAAGTGTACTCTGCTCTGTTACCTACACGCTGTAAATATTTGCTCACAGGGATGAACTGATTACTTTTGCCACGTGAGAAAGTAAAGTGCAACAAGCCTTAACTCGACAGTGGTTAGTCCTGAATGTTCACACGTCTTTAGTTTGAAAGAGAGAATCAGAGTGAGGGTGTGTCTGCAGGACAGCATTCAGTCACCGATCGTATCGACTGCGCTGACAGGTCTCAGTTTACCTCGGGGGCGAATCGCCTGACAGAGCGAGTAAAGACCGTGCGAGCAGACGTGACTCTGCAGATCACTCCACTGGATGGATACATTTTAAATATGAGCAGCCTAATATCACAAGCTGCGGTGGAACGTTTACTCAAATTGACAGGAATCTAATTTGCTAATATAGAATGCTTATATAAGGACAGAGTTTATTAAAAACTGGCACACAATATTGTGAGTGACCTGAGGCACCCTCTTGCCTCTTACTTGAAACTGTTGCCATCCGGGCGGAGATATCGTGCCTCTTATTTAAAAAAGAACAGATCTAGGCTGTCTTTCGTCCCACAAGCCATCAAACTCCTGAACAAATGATGGCTAGGACGCCCTGTTTACCCAGCTGGTCTGGCCCTGTCCCCCCTATTTCGCAAATGAGGGCCTATAGGCCGCCTCGTCATGTCTGCCGATATCTGGTTTTCTTATGTCTGTTTGTTTTTATCTGTGTCTATGTTGTTGTCAGTGATGTATTGTCTTATCTTTTTAAATGCCTCTGTGATGTGCTGCAACCCATTTTCCCCTCGGGGACTAATAAACGAATACTATACTAAGTATTTAAGTACTTTGGAGTATTGGAAGCTAAAGTACTTTTTGAGTTTGTATCTTCCCGTGTGTCAGCCAAAGTGCACATGTTAAGTAGTTAATAATGCCACTTTATGGACTTTCAAGGTTAATGTTGTTAGGTTAAGAGTTTTAGAGTTTCATAACATTTGATATGTTTTCTTAAGTTTTAACTAGCAAACAGTTTTATACGAGAACGCTTTGTAATTTAATCCAAAAACATTCCTTAACCTTAGTTTTACAGTTTTTGATTGAAAAAATCTTTATTTATTTTAGATTTTTCTGCATTTAATGTTTTTGCTTTAATACTTTTACGACATTGTGTTACCTACTTTAACTGAAGGGACACTTCTAATGCAGGACTTCTACTTGTACCAGAGTATTAGTTATTTTGAAGTACTTATACTTTACTTGAGTAAATAGCTATTTGAACTATACTAATACTTTTACTCCCATTGAAACGGATATCATGCAAATGTTAGCTGACTATATTTTTCTTACAGCTTTCGTTACAAGTTAAGATTTTCAGTTGAACTTGTTTAACAGTTTATACAAGAACAGCTTACTCAATTAATTAAGCGTCTATTAAAGGTGGGGAAGGTAAGTTTCAGAAACCGGCTCGAGTGCACTAACATTTGAAAGTACACAGCCGAAAAGAATCCTCCCCTTCCTTCAGACTTCCTTACAGAGCACCTCCTCCAACACACATGAACGCGCACATGACGTCAGCAGACTGGTGAGAGTGGCCGCCTGTTGCTGGCGAGTCATTGAAGTACTGCTGCAATGCACGCCCAATGAGGGCACGCCCAATGAGGGCACGCCCAATGACAGCACGCCCAATGAGGGCACGCCCAATGAGGGCACGAGATACATTTGTGCGTGCACGAGATGGAAGGCTGACAGACAAGGCGGCAATCCAATCCGTTTAGCCGGGCCGGCTAAACGGATTGGTTGTACTTTTTACAGCACCACGGCTTCCACAGAAGACATTTTGTTATGGATTTGTTGTCAAAGCACTTCAGATATTCATTGCTATCGGATGTTAAGAGCATTCCATGGAATATAACAAAAAGTGTATCTCGAGCCGGTTTCTCAAACTTACCTACCCCACCTTTAACATTTCACTAAATTCATATTTATTTTGAATCATTTTGAGTTTTTTGTGCGTTTTTTATTGCATTGGTTACTTTTAAATTATCACTTCAACTTCATTTAACTTTCTTACTTTTACTTAAGCAACATTTCCAAATTGGGATTTTACACTTTTACTTCAGAATTTACTCTTCCTGTCGATGTGTTTCCCACTAATTGTTAAAGGTCACCTATTATGCAAAATCCTCTTCTTCATGTCTCTTCTACATCAACATGTGTCCCCCTTCTTCATGTCTCTTCTACATCAACATGTGTCCCCTCTTCCTCATGTCTCTTCTACATCAACATGTGTCCCCTCTTCTTCATGTCTCTTCTACATCAACATGTGTCCCCTCTTCTTCATGTCTCTTCTACATCAACATGTGTCCCCTCTTCTTCATGTCTCTTCTACATCAACATGTGTCCCCTCTTCTTCATGTCTCTTCTACATCAACATGTGTCCCCTCTTCTTCATGTCTCTTCTACATCAACATGTGTCCCCTCTTCTACATGTCTCTTCTACATCAACATGTGTCCCCTCTTCTTCATGTCTCTTCTACATCAACATGTGTCCCCTCTTCTTCATGTCTCTTCTACTCAACATGTGTCCCCTCTTCTTCATGTCTCTTCTACATCAACATGTGTCCCCTCTTCTTCATGTCTCTTCTCTTCATCAACATGTGTCCCCTCTTCTTCATGTCTCTTCTACATCAACATGTGTCCCCTCTTCTTCATGTCTCTTCTACATCAACATGTGTCCCCTCTTCTTCATGTCTCTTCTACATCAACATGTGTCCCCTCTTCTCATGTCTCTTCTACATCAACATGTGTCCCCTCTTTTCATGTCTCTTCTACATCAACATGTGTCCCCTCTTCTCATGTCTCTTCTACATCAACATGTGTCCCCTCTTCTTCATGTCTCTTCTACATCAACATGTGTCCCCTCTTCTTCATGTCTCTTCTACATCAACATGTGTCCCCTCTCTCTTCATGTCTCTTCTACATCAACATGTGTCCCCTCTCTTCTTCACGTCTCTTCTACATCAACATGTGTCCCCTCTTCTTCACGTCTCTTCTACATCAACATGTGTCCCCTCTTCCATGTCTCTTCTACATCAACATGTGTCCCCTCTTCTTCATGTCTCTTCTACATCAACCTGTGTCCCCTCTTCTTCATGTCTCTTCTACATCAACATGTGTCCCCTCCTTCAGTCTCTTCTACATCAACTGTCCCCTCGTCTTCATGTCTCCTTCACTCAACATGGTCCCCTCTGTGGAAAGAGACTCTGAAAGTTTCAGGAACAAAGATTCTCTCTTTTGTCCTGATCCATTTCGAAAATGAGCTGATCAGATTTGGGACACTTTATGATGTCATAACGATGTGTTGTCTTGTGGCCATTAGCCAATCAGCAACCAAGGTAACCCCCCCCCCCCCCCCTTATCACCTGAATCCCCTCCTAGAGCACCATTGAGTTCTTTGTAACCAAATCTCTCTCAGAGGGGCGTGGGGAGGGGCTCCTTGTTTTCATCTAAAGCAGTGGTTCTCAAACTTTTTCTGTCAGGCCCCCCCTTTGGAGAAAAAAAAAAGTCGGGCCCCCCCAACACAAATAGTCAGGCTCAGTGACGGCGCCAGAGATTTATTTTGGGGTGCTGTGGGTAGCTTGACGTTTTCAGGGTGCTCAAACATTTAGGGTTTCCCATGAATGTACCGGGCGCTACAGGGAACTACAGTGGAACTTTCTACTTTAAAGCTTTTCATTAAACTTTTGTTTATTTTGTTTGTTTTTTATTATGCCTCCTGTAGCACCTTGGGATTGCTGTGAGCAATGAAAGGTGCTTTATAAATCGAATGTATTATTATTATTATTATTATTGCAACACTCCCCACGCCACCACATACACAATGTCCCCACGACAGTTACAATGAAGGCTCGATAATCAGCTCACGGCATATAGGTGTAAGCAGGTGAACGTGCTATTTATAGGTGGTATTTGGACCTCACATAGGAGGGTCCGGGGGCAAGCTCCCCCGGAAAGATTTATTTTTAAATATTGAAGTTAAAAGCATCAATCTGGTGCACTTTGAGAGCAACATTAAGAGATCTATGGATACCTCTGTCAACACCCATTTGAAACAGAACTGTAAACAGATTTACTTTTTCTTTATGGATATTTTACAAATCACCCTTTTAAACTTTATTCTTGTTTTACTGTCATATAGTATTTCATACCTGTTTTTCATTTATTCTCTTATTTTTTTATAACTATAATGATCATATAAACGTGTGCCTCGGAAATAATTGTTTACATTAATGGTGACCAAAACGTTTGAGACCCACTGAGATAACACTGAGAGAGTCCTTTAGCTCACTGAGTCTCTCAGGACTCTCCTCCACTTTGTTGTTGAAAAAACTCCTTATATCCGTTAGCGTAGCTCGCTAGCACCAGAAGCTAACATCAACGATCTCCGGTACCGGTGCGCTCTCTCTCTCTCGCTCACGCACACAACAAAATGGCTCGTTCCACACACACACAGAGCGGAGCTTTAATGAAACACGGAGACCCAGACGTAATAGTACTGTACTGTATCATATTACTTTCGAATCAATAATTTTTCAAATATGATTTTTTTTTTTGTAATCTTTTTTTTTTTTTTTTTTTAATAACCATTTTTCCTCCTGGTCTCTCGCGCCCCCCCTGTCATGCCTCTGCGCGCCCCTGGGGAGGCGCGCCCCCCACTTTGAGAACCACTGATCTAAAGTAACAGACAGAGAATCAGCACTTTGGAAACAGGGCTGAAACAGAGGGGATTATGGGTAATGCTGCAATGATCTGTTTGGTGTTTCAGCCAATCAGAGACAGGCTCTGTATATATCTGAGACCTGTGATATATTGATGAAGAACAGTATAATAGGGGACCTTTAAATCTGTTGTTTGTGTGTTTTCAGAATGGCCGATGTGTTCCTGACGTGCGAGTGGAGAGATCGGGGCGTCCTATCAGGGCGTCCGGCAGGCCATCTCCCTCGCCGTCACTCTGGGCATCGCCTGCTGGGGGGGGTCATCGTGGTGGGTGTCTCATTGAATGGACGATTACAAATGTTACGATTTTATTTGATTGTATTTATTTATATTTATTTTATTTAATTCAATTTAATGATTTTTTTTTTATTCATTTAATTGTATTAACTTTATACTTTAATTTATTTCAATTTCAATTTAACGTTTTTTTGCTCTAATTCATGACATTTTATTTATTATATATCAAGTATTTTTTTTTTTTTTATTTCATTCTAAAACAGCCAATGTTACCGAGTGAATAAGAACACAGTTTGTCTGGTTGTGATTCTGATTAGAAAAGGCTGAATGTGGTTTAAAGTTGTTTTAAGTTTTCATACAACAGTTATGTGGAAAGCTTCTCAATCCCTCAATCATGACACCACATTGAGATCAAATCTGTGACATGCTGTCAAATCAATCCTACTTCTTTAACTATCAAAACTAATGTAGTTATATTTTTATTTTAAGTAACGTAAATGCTTCGACACAGTACCTCATTAAAGAATATACATTCAGATGTCTTTACTGTACATCAGAGGGTCGTCACGAGAAATTAAAGTGACACGTTTCTCATTTCAGGTTTTATTCTGAAGCTTCCTGTGTTCGGCGCTCCTTCTGACGCCATCTGCTACGAGGACAGCATCTACTGGGAGGTGAGACCTTTAAAGCAATCTGTGGTTTCAGAGAAGTAAAGAAACTGAGTTACTCAAGTACTGCACTAAAGTACAACTTTGAGATACTAGTACTTCACTACAGTTCAGAGGTACATGGTGTACTTTTCCTCCTCTACATGTATTTAATCCCTTTAGTTACTTCACAGATCTGGATGAATGATGTGAAATATAATCAATTGTTGAATCAGACTTTAGTTCCACCTGGAGTAAATCCACCAGCTACCCTGCAGAATACAAAGTACTTCAAACTAGCTGCACCTTTACCAGCTTTGAGAACACTTTAATGATCAATCATTATAAAACATATCATATATATTATTCTGAAATGGACCAATCTGCACAATGACTACTTTTACTGTCGCTACTTTCACTATATTTTGATGAGAATACTTTTCTACTTTCACTTGAGGAACATTTTGAATGCAGGACTTTTACTGTGACAGAGTATTCCTACACTCTGGTACTTCTACTTTTACTCAAGTACAAGATCTGAGTACTTCTACTTTTACTCAAGAACAAGATCTGAGTACTTCTACTTTTACTCAAGAACAAGATCTGAGTACTTCTACTTTTACTCAAGTACAATATCTGAGTACTTCTACTTTTACTCAAGTACAAGATCTGAGTACTTCTACTTTTACTCAAGAACAAGATCTGAGTACTTCTACTTTTACTCAAGAACAAGATCTGAGTACTTCTACTTTTACTCAAGTACAATATCTGAGTACTTCTACTTTTACTCAAGAACAAGATCTGAGTACTTCTACTTTTACTCAAGAACAAGATCTGAGTACTTCTACGTTACTCAAGAACAAGATCTGAGTACTTCTACTTTTACTCAAGTACAATATCTGAGTACTTCTACTTCTACTCAAGTACAAGATCTGAGTACTTCTACTTTTACTCAAGCACAAGATCTGAGTACTACTACTTTTACTCAAGCACAAGATCTGACTACTTCTACTTTTACTCAAGTACAAGATCTGAGTACTTCTACTTTTACTCAAGTACAAGATCCGAGTACTTCTACTTTGACTCAAGTACACTATTTGAGTACTTCTACTTTTACTCAAGTACAAGATCTGAGTACTTCTACTTTTACTCAAGTACAAGATCTGAGTACTTCTACTTTTACTCAAGTACAAGATCCGAGTACTTCTACTTTTACTCAAGTACAAGATCTGAGTACTTCTACTTTTACTCAAGTACAAGATCTGAGTACTTC